ATGTTACAATCCCAAAAAATCAGCAACACTTACTGTAAAAAAACCACCTTATTAGTTATGTATAGAAACGGTTGGGAAATAAATGATGAGAATCTCGTAATGGTGCAAATATTTTTGACCGAATTAAACTGATTTGCAAATAAAATATTTTATTAGTAAATGTGCAATATTTTTTGCAATTGTTAGTTCTTAGGGTAATTTTCTCTTATAAATCTGAACGGAACGTGACGAATCGTGTGGCATTAATTAAACAAACTAAATACGGCCCGATCCATTCAATTATGATGATGTTTGGTTTACTTTGTAACAAGTTGAAATCAGGCCCATTAAATTAATTGACCGTTTGGTTATCACTCTTTATATGTCCAACCAAAATACAACCTTAAAGAATATGTTATCAATTATATATTTCATTATTTTGCTTAAAAAATATTAGTAAGTGTGGGAATTATGTTATTAAAAATTATGCAATTTTAGAGTTCCTTTTTATACACGACATTTTGTTGCTGAATTATTGTTAGATTGTTATATTTTTTTTTTAAAAAAGTCAAATATTTACTTTTCACACTAGAGAAATGTCCATATCTATGTGATTGAATTAAAATAAATAAATAAATAAATAAATAAAAAATTAATCACTTTTTTCACCACTCACTTTTTTCTTTAAAAAAAAATTAAAATATAATCAAGGTTCAATCTAATTTTACTATCCTCAATATCAATAATATAATTAAATAATATCAATATAATTTTTACACGTCACATCAAATTTAATTCACCATTCATCCGCTCACGTAATTTTAATATCCGTCATTTTCAATCAATTATCTTCTATGTTTTACATCGAATCAATTTTCGTTATTTATTTTAAATATTATTTTCATACAAACTCAAAATCTCACTCAAATTTAACACAACCAACTTTTTCGAAATTAACTATGATTAACAAAATAAATCAATCAAAACCGAAATATCCAATCAAACCTTAAGAAACTGAACATTGTTTGCAAATGGGTTTAGAATAGAGATTAGAAATGGCTAAACCACAAGAATTGAGGATATTAACTGGGTGTTCTAAACTCAGACCAAATTTGGTGAAGAAGATAGTCATGCTAAATTGAAAATCTCCTCTGTAAATCTTAGGAAGGAGGACAAAATGTTGTGGGGCTTGGATTAAAAGGGATTGTTTTCTTTCTCTGCTTCTTATTCTTTCTTATTAAAGAAAAAGTTGAGGGGCTCGACATTCTTCTATTAGTGAAATTTTTAGAAAAAAAAAATATATCCAACGATGCAACGAACCTTGGGTCGCTATGGAAAGGTCTGCGTACAAAGGTCTGCGTACAACTGACCCTTCATACCCCAACCTGTTGGAAATATACTAGAAAAAAAATATATCAGGAATTTTTTGCTTGTTTTATTACCTGGCATCAAGTATAGCAATTTTAACTGCCATTGTTAAGAACAAAAAATCAACCTTTCGTTTGTATATTCTCAGAAATGTATGTGACCCAGATTTCATTGCTTGCTAATGCATAACACTATATTCTCTCTATAGTCACCAACTTCAACCCTTTGATACTCGTGATCGTGATCGGTGCAACAAATCGACCGTGATTTTGAGGCCAACGTAGTTATGACCGGTGGTTGCACCATATATAGACCGGTCCAGATTCCCTTCAGCTCCTTCAGTTATCCTCCAGCTCGTCCACCTCCGCCAACTGGTTTCGATCCTGCCACTCTACCGTCTCCTCCACATTCTTCTCTATATTTTCTTTATTCTCTAACATCAGGTTCTCCCCACTATGTTCCTCATGTTTTACGCGAGTTCTTGAGTGCGTTCTTCGCCTCCACTTTCTTCTTCACCTCCGTTACGTTCAAGATACCATTGGCGTCGATGTCGAACACCACGTTGATCTGCGGGACACCTCTGTTGAGCTCGACGGGATTCCGTTCGTGATGGATCGCTTCTCGGCAGTTGGTGGGTGCATGACCAGGAATAAATGGTCGCCATGCCTTTCCCGCAAATAACGTCTCGGCTAACGATGTGTGCATCCAAACAAAGAAATTTAAAATCAAAATACATAGATAGGAAAAGAACGAAGCATATCGATGCTCGCTTTTTAAACACAAACATAGGTATTATCCGCCGCCGCCGCCGCCACCACATCCACATCCTAACTGTCACCCTTAAAATTTTCTACTAAAAGCTATAAGAAATTTTACCCCATTCTACTAGGTTTCGCTTCTCTCTCGTTCTAAGTTTTGAATCTGAATTCTAATTGGAGATGTGAGAAATGTTCACCTATCCACGGTGGACACATGTTAATATGCCCACCTCGTAGGTGGCATGCATTCATTGGTGATGTATTTTTTTAAACATATTAACATCACCAATGAGTGGATGCCACCTACGCGGTGAGCATATTAACATGTGCCCACTGTGGGTAGGTGAGCATTTCTATTGAAGATTTATGTCGTGATTGTTTTATTTATTTTTTATTTTTTGTACATTAATTAATAATAAAGTGAATAACTATTTTCCATGTAGGCACAGTTCTACTACTGTGTGCCCTGGCACACCTAACAAGGTGTGCCACGACAGTTTAAAATGAACATGTTACCTTATAAAATGAACATGTGTAAACATATTTACACATGTTCATTTTATAAAGTAACATGTTCATTTTAAAAATGTCTTGGTACACTTTGCTAGGTGTGCCAGGGCGCACCTAATTATTTACGATGTAGGCAGGTGTCAATGAAGTTGCAAAACTAGATGGCTCGCCTCTATCTGTATATATATATATAAAAAGAATTACCATTTATCAAAAATAGTAAGTCAATCCTTGATCAAAGCTGGTCGGCATTTATTACATGCCATATATAGTATATTTTTAATATTTTTTTTAAATGTTGTCCTTAAAATGAGAAGTTTGTTACATTTTATTTTCAAAAAAGTTGGGCTGCTATTTAAATTTAGTCTATTGAATATTTGTGATGGTTTGACACGATGTGCATACGAAAATCTGATAATGCACGATTGCATCAATTAAATTTAGTTATTGGTTACAAAAAGCTATTTTTAAATTTGAATATAAACGTACGTCACGACTGCTAATTCAATTAAACATCGGACAATTATATTCTCCAAATTTAAAACCAGATATCCGCCTAATACAATTGTTTTGTTTGACATCTTTTCTATAATAAAAAAGTTACAACTGATTTAATAATATAAAAAGTTACGTGCTATTTTTTCTACTCATAAAAATATACTTTTGTATTTAAAAATATCGGAAACTTTTTTTTTCTATATAATCAGCTAGTAGCCTAATACATATGTTTTGATTAGCAGGTTTTATTTAGCAAAACAAATTACGGCTGATTTAAGGGTAAAAATATTTTAATAAAATCATTTGTTTATTTCTTTTGAAAACATTTTTACTAACAATCAAATTGAGCAGCTTCAATTAAAAAAATAAAGTTGCGGCTGATTCAATTATTTTGTTTGACAATTATTTATAATGAAAAATAATACACGGCTCTAATTTTGAAACAATCAAAAATTTTATGGTCATTGTTTAAATCAGAGATTCGAAATAAGAATAATCTCCATATTTAAATTGCTTTAATTGTAAAATGTGATGTATCCAATATTTAAATAAATTTATCACATATCATCCCCTACATTAATAATTTTATTTTTTTTATATCAATATACCAAATCAAATTTTTCCTGCCTTTGTTTAAATTAGAGATTCAAAATATCTTAATCTCCATGTTTACATTGCTTTAATTGTAAGACGTGATGTATACAAAATTTAGATAGATTTATCACATATCTCCCATAAATTAATGATTGTTTTTTCTCCTAAATTTCAAAATACCAAATCCTAAAGTTGCGGTTGATGTAATTATTAAAAGATATTTTGCGTTCTTAGATTCGGGTTATCTTCAAACTCAAAATTTAAATCGCCGATATGTAAATATAGACATATTAAATACATATGAACCCTAAAATGAAGGATGTTATTCCATTAGAAAACACAAAGTATGAACTTAAGATGTAGATTTATCGTGCACGTGTGATAATACAATTTTTCATGCTATGAAAGTCATATTGTTTACCCGTGCATGACACGGGATACGCACTAGTTATTGTAAACAAACACAGAGTAATACTCCACTACTCACGGTGGGCACATATTAATATGCCCACCGCTTATGTAGCATGCACATATGGTGATGTTAATATGTTCAAAAACATACATCACCAATGTGTACATGCCACATAAGTGGTGAACATATTAACATGTGCCCACCCGGTCCGGCCCGCCGGGCTCGAAAACAATGACCCGAACCCGGCACGGACCTATACTTGTGCCGGGTCAATGGCTCGGTTGACCAGGCCGGGTCCGTGTCCGGGCCGAGTCCGTTATTTTTTAAAAAACAATAGAAAAAAATATAAAATAAAATAAAAAAGTGGCTCATCGACTCGACCGAGTCATGAACTGGATGACCCTGACACGACGCTTTGGAAATCGATCAGGGCCCGGACCCGTTATCAATGGGTTTGATCGGGCCGGGTCCGTTCCGGGTCGGCGGGCTGGGCGACCCTTGGCCATGTCTATACACAAGTATTGACTTCCACTAAAACATTCATTATCATCTGCACCAGCAAATGACGACGTATTCCAACTAACAGTAGAGCAACAATGGAGGGATCAGAAAATATGGAGAGCTTCCTCCAGTGGAGTTCGGCAATTGGAATCTCGGACTCTCCGATTTCTGGAGCACCTTTCGACTCATGTATCGGCCGTTCTTTGTCCGTCTCCCATTTTCCCGGCGCCGGCGGGTGAAAAGAGCTTTTTACATTCTTGTTTTACATGAATTTACGCGTTTTCATTTCTCTCACTGAGTGTACAAAATGGTATTGATTGTTTCAGGAGAGGCTTAGCTGCGGCCCGTGATTTAAGAAAGGGGGAGTTGGTCCTTAGGGTTCCGAAGGCGGCGCTGATGACAAGCGATGTTCTGATCGGCGATGATCGCATGTTGTCTGCTGCCTTGGTGAAACACCCTTTACTCTCGTCTACCCAGGTGGGATTTTTATCTTCTTTTGAAATTTTTTGTTTTTATTTTTCCTTTTTTAATGAAGTTTTCATGTGCAAAAGTACTGTTAGTTAGTTGCTAGAGAAATAGAAATGTGCAAAGTTGAAAGTCTTTGTTGCTTGAGAATTGGAAATTTGCAAAGTTGGAATTCACTTTGACATTATTATCTTGAGCAGAGAATATGGAAACGATTATATTATCGAGTTATCGAACTAGTGATTGAGCTACTAAATTGATGCGTGCTGCGACTGCTGTCGCTTAGCAAGGGCCAATATAAAATTTGGGCTATACTCTTTTCTGTATAATTTGGTACAGGTATTCTCCGTTGCTTTACTGAATGAAGTGAACAAGGGCAAGAACTCTTGGTGGTATCCTTACCTGAAGCAGTTGCCTCAAAGTTATGATTTGCTGGCATGTTTTGGCCGGTTCGAAATTGAAGCTTTGCAGGTTAGTTTTGTGTGGTATTGGTTTTCAGTCTAAAGAATTGCTGCATAAATTGACTATCTTTTAGAAAGATTGGTTTTTTGGTGTGAGCATGTGAAAAGATGATGATAAAATTATTTGTAGATTGATGACGCCATTTGGTCAGCTGAAAAGGCTGTTATTAAGGGGAAAATGGAATGGGAAGAAGCTACTCCTCTTATGTGCGAACTTAATCTCAAGCCTCAGCTCAGAACCTTGAAAGCATGGCTATGGGCTTATGCAACTGTAAGAACATGTCATTTGGTTCTACTATCAAATACATTCGTCTTCTATCCTGTAACAACTACTCATTTGGCCAATATATTGCTAATTTCTTGTGCTGCAATGACTGGAATATTTTAGATCACTGTGAGCTGAAGCCCCACGAGCTCTAGTTTCACCACACTAATTAAACTAAAGTATTAAGGGACAAGAAAAAGGACGTTTTTTTTACTATCAGTTATTTGTGGTGCAGTTGAAAGTTATAGCCCAGAATATAGGCATCATTGCCATTCTATTCTTTAAGCAAGTTATAATGGTTGTTTAATGGCCAAAGAGTAATAATCACTTTTCGTTTGACATTATTTTCTCACAGAAGTTCTAAGACTTTCACCATGAATTGTTTTTAAAAAAGATATCCTCGCGCACCATGCATATATCGTGGAATACTGCCGGTTGTTTGTGCCCCTTGGGGGATTACTTTAACTATACACCTCCTGAAGAACATTCGGCATGCCCGAACACTAGAAAGATTCTTGGTGCTGATTCCTTCTCTTCTGTAGAAAGAGAAAGCAATCAAAACCCAATAAACGGCCTCTCAGATGCGAACACGGATAGGTTAATAGATGCTGGTTATGATGAAACAACCGCTTGTTATTGTTTTTATGCTAAGAGAGACTATGCTGAAGGAGAACAGGTATATCACTCGTTTCATCCTTCTTTATACTTTTCTAGCTTCAATTTTGGATTTTATTTTATTTTTTGATTTTTGTATGATAGGTTCTTCTAAGCTACGGTACGTACACAAACCTTGAGCTCCTTGAACACTATGGCTTCATCCTTCAAGAAAATCCAAACGACAAGGCATTTATATCCTTGGAGACCGAGATGTACTCCCTCTGCCCATGGCCCAAGGATTCACTATACATTACTAATGACGGTAAACCATCCTTTTCCCTCCTGTCGACCGTCCGGCTGTGGGCCACCCCTCCCAACAAGCGTCGATCGGTCAAACATTTAGCCTTTTCTGGTCAACGTGTCTCGAACGAGAACGAGGCTGCCGTCATGAAGTGGATAATGCACAAATGTCAAGCATTGCTGAATAACTGCCCGACCTCAATCAGTGAAGATGCTCATCTTCTGAAAATCATCGATAATATTCAAGACTACACGGGACAGGTGGAGGTGGAAGGCCTGCCTGTAATTTCGTGTGATGAAATTCGTGTTTTTTTGGAGAAGAAACATTTGAAGGCTACTAGAAAAAGCTGTTATGAGTTGGAGTTTTATGAAAAGACGAGAAGGTCTGCGTGTAGGTGGAAACTGGCGGTAGGGTGGAGGCACACGTACAAGAAGATTTTGAGTGAATGCTTTTCTTATTGTAGTAAGGTGTTGGCTGATCTTGGTTGATTACAAAGCTTCTTGTAAGATTTTGGAGAGTATTTTCAACACCATCATAAATTTAGACAGATGTTTGTTATAGCTATTTAACAAGTGCTTGAAGCATAGTAGCTGACCAGAGATGCTTCCGAACACTAGAGAACGTGATTCTTATATTTGGGATAGGACAAAACACAAACACTTATTTTGCTTTTGATTATTTAGGGATTATTTGCCAGCTCGTGGTATCCATGAATTTGTAGTTGTGTAAGTCTTTCTTATTTAAAAACAGGCGCCCCC